CAGAATGGGGCACGTGTCCCAGCTTTGCAGGGTGGGAAAGGCCAGGCCAAAGGAAATTGAAGGACCAAGGACCAGGAAGTATAGGTAGAAATTGCCGGAAAACGGAGTCAACCCCGGAACTTCCAGGTAGGAACCGCCTGTGGACACCCTGACCTAGTTTAACTTCTGACCCCTGGCTCAGTGAGATGACACACTCGTGGCTCTTTGACCATTAGTCACCAAGTGTCCCATCTTTTGCAACAGCCATAGCCGGAAACACACAGCCAGGAAGGTGACCCTGTTCTGGACAGCCTGGAGGTGTTCTCTGGTATGGCTGTAGCTCTGGAAGATTCCAGATGCATCTAGATACTGCTGGCTCAGGCTGGAGGAAAGTCCGTCCCCCACCCCACCCCTGCCCTTGGTAGGATGGAAACTGGGAGCAGAACTATTAGTTCCCCTTTCAGAGATGGAAGTGAGGGTGGGCTGGCCCACCTGCTCCCCTTTTGTGACTTATGTGTACTTTTCAGACATGGCGTTATATAACCAGGGTCATGCAAGGGTCACAGCCCTGATTTCCAGCCCTTCATCTAAAGTGCTCTTTTGCCTGGCAGTGTGAAGTCCCCAGGATGTCCATCAGTCAGTCAGTCAGTCAGTCAGGATGAGCAGACCTGAGGCCCGATTGCTGTGTGCCATTGTCCGTGCCCGTCCCCCCCCCCCCCCCCCCGTCTCCCTCTCTGCCTCCCAGCTGTGGAATTCTGCTGGCTCCTGTGTCAGGAGGTTCCCTTGGTCCATCCCTTCCTACTCTGGGAGCTTGCAGAACCACGTTCTTGCCTGTGGCCATGAGACAGTCTTTCTCTTAGTTCAGTGGGGATGGATGGAGCAAGCCCCTGCTGCCCAGTCTCCACGAGCATCTTGTCCTGGACTGGACATGCCAAGGGGCATTGTGACACTTGCTGCCTGCTTCCTCCTCTTTCTCCCAGATGTCCTGGAGTGGCTTCCCTGGGGGTTTTCGAAGGCCTTTGCCTCTCCAAGGCCCTTGCCCATGAGATCCACTTCCCAAGGAGGTCTAAATTCCAGGACTCTTGCTGCTCTTAAGTACCAAAGGCCCAGGCCAGGGAGGGCGGGTCACCATCTCCTGCCATCTGCCTCTGTGGTCCCTGCATGGTGCGTGTGCGCCTGTGTTTTCCAGCTGGAGGCAGAGGAGTCTGAGCTCTTGCTCTTCACCATGTTCTTTGAGGCAGGGTCTCTCACCAAGCCTGGAGGTAGGCCCGAGGTCAGGGGGCCCCATAATCCTCCTGTCCCTGCCTCCCACAGCACCAGAGTTATAGGTCCTCACGTGATCTTTTATGCTGGCGCTGGATTCAAACTCAGGTCCTCCTGAGTTTGCAACAAGCGCTCTTACCTGCAGAGCCATCTTCCCCACCTGTCATCTTTGACTTCTGTGTTAGGGCCTGTGTGTGTGAGGCCCCCGGGTCCCCAGCCTCCATACCCCGGGGATGAAATTCTCTCAGGGCTGACAGTGTTAACTCTAATCTCGGGGAGAATGTGCCCGGAAGACTTTTGCCTGCGACGTCACCTTTGCAAGCAGAGACACACACAGCTGGCAGGCTGCAGTAGTTTCTGCTTATTCCTGACTTGCAACCGGGAGCCTTGCTCTATGCTGGCTGACAGCCACTCCCTTCTTCCTGCTGCCTGTGACCACGCCCTTCGCCCTCCTCGCCAGCCCCGGAGGCTGCTGCTCATGGACCCTCTGCTGAACCTGTCTGCAGGTGCCATCTTGCCATTCTCCCCTGTGTCCCTCTTCCTCTTCAGCAAATAAGAAACCCCCTTTTAGGATGCTTGCCAGCTAGAATTCTCACACCCCTTGGTAACTCCCAAACCGGGCACCGGTAGCCCCATGCCGGGGACATCTTGCACAAAGGATATTGATGTTACCCGAGGGAGAGGTGGTGAGTGTCCTGGCTCTGAGTGACGCCCTCCCCTCCGGGGCTCAGCACACTCAGCCAATCTTGGCACAGCTCTTAGAAGTGTGAGTAGCTTCTGGGGTCCCGCCCCTGGAAGGTGGAGGTCACATCCCCTGTAGGTGTTACAGGGGCAGTGCGTGCTGTTCAGAGAGAGAGAGAGAGAGAGAGTCAAGCTTTACCGAGCCCAGTTTTAGAAGCCAGACAAACAGCCTTAAAACCCAGCCCCTGAGCACCTCAGGTGTGTGGCAGTTGTCCTGGCTGCAGGGTGGGAAGGCGAGGAGCTGCCCTGCCCATCAGCCCGGAGTGCCCAGTTTACCAATCCTCTCTCCGCTCCCGCTCCCGGAGGAGCCCACAGGGCCGGACACGGGGTGCCTTTGGATTTGCCTTTGTCATGGAAATCTGTGGGCCTGGTGGGGTTTGGGCTGCATTTGGTTGGGGTGAGGTGAAGGGCCTGAGGGATGGGCTGGCAGAGGGCTAGAACTGAGATCAGGTGTGGTGGGGATCAAGCAAGAGAGTGGGCTGCAGACACCAGGGTCATGCAGAGGTCAAGTAAAGGCAGCGAGTGGGTGACATAGAAAACACGTGGCTGATACAGCTTTCGTGTTCTTGCCGTGTGGCTCAGGCTGGTTTCAAAACTCAGTCCTTCTGCTTCAGCTAGGATCACAGTAGTGCGGCACCCTGCCGTGCTTAAAATCAGCCTTTCAAAAGAGAAAAGGACCTGCAGTTGGGTGCTGCTCCCTGACAGGGGGGAGGGGAGGGGTTTCTCAGAAAGGAGGAAATGGGCCCCTCCTGCCCTGCAGCCTAGGGCCACCGACTTGCTTTGAAATCTGTTACCAGGGAGACCAGGAGGGGCCAGGGCTTGTACAGTTAGTGGCAGGTCCCTGGGCCCTGGGGAAACCCAAAGTGGGGGTGGGGGCTTCCTGGGAAACCACGGAGCCCAGCTGAGGAGTGCAGCGATCTTAGAAAGCAGCGAACGCTGTGGTTGGATGTGCCAGGGTCCAGGTGTACTCAAACCCAAGGAAGAGTTCTGATGCAGTATAGGAAGTTGTCTGGAGAAAGGAGGGAAACTGGGAGTGGACAGCATTGAGGAATCGAGGAATGGACGTATTGCCACCAACCGCGTGGGGCAGCTGTAACATTGGAGAAGCGAAGCAGTAGGGCTAGGGGTACTGAGGAGTGAAGGCAGGGTCCTGGGGCTGGACTCTCAGACTCGTGGGTTCTCCAGGAAGAACACGGCCTGTAGAGGGAGGAGGGGTGTGGCCCAAGAGAACCAACTAGAGGGATGTGGCAAAGCTGGTAAGGGGTTGGAACCAGAAGCATTAAGGAGGCCTAGGGGAGGTCAGTGCAGGAAGCCAAGCTGGAAAGGGAAAGAGATCCCAGCAAGGGTCCTGGCAGGGCTGCCCTCAGGGTCAGAGGGCGTGGCTGGAGATGGGCCATGGGGAATCCTCCCAGAGCCCTGGTGGTGTGGTGGGCAGAGGCCAGATGGCCAGGGCCAAGAAGTGCGTGGGCGCTGGGAAGAGGGGAACATGAGTGGGCCAAGAGGTTGGGCTAATGAGAATGGGCAGAGGGGTCAGAGAGCTGAGACTGCTCTGGGCACTGGGCCAGCATCCCTTCACCTGGGCCCAGACAGGAACCAGAAGGAAGGAAGTGGTACCTGAGCACCCCAGGAACCATTGCAAGTCTCTGTCTGCAGTGGCCAGATGCTTTCTAGGGGCCTGGCCTTCCCTCAAGGCCATTTGGAAGGGACCCCCCTAGCCCCTACCACCTCAGGGATGTAGCCTTGCAGGTATTCCCTGCAGCCTTGGATGGTATGGGACCACCAGGGCACCCATGTATGCCACACGAGTGACAGCCCTGCTCCTGTTCTCTAGCACTCCAGCCTCGGAGGGGCGTGTGCGTGTGTGCGGGTGTGTGTGTGTGTGTGTGTGTGTGTGTGTGTGTGTGTGTGTGTTTTGGGGGGGGGTTGAGGACTGGCATTTGGTTGGAAGCATCTGCTGTCCTTCTGAGCTGTTGCCTGGGTGGATGGAAGACAGTGGGCGGGAAGGTGAGCTTTGAGCAAGCTACAGTGCCTGCCCGGAGAAAACAGGATGTGTAGAGTGTGTGTGTGTGTGTGTGTGTGTGTGTGTGTGTGTGTGTGTGTGTGTGTGTACCATGCACACGAGTGCCTACATCCCTCTTTCCTGCTAGCTTGGTGCTGCGTGTGGAGTGGAGTGTGGGTGTCCTGTGCTTCCCAGCAGATGTCAACCTCTGAAACGAGTCTGTATTGGGCTCATCTTCCTGTTGGTTTCAGGGGAGGTAGGAACCCCTGCTGTCACCTAGGAGGACCATGGGTGCCGCTCCCCGAAGGCCAGCCTGTGCAACGACTCAGTGGGGATGGCCTTTTCAGCTGGCACTCATCGGCCAGGTGCCTAACAAAGGGGAGGGGTTTCCTCTGCTTTCGGGTACGGCTTGGTGGGTGTGGACTAGGCTTGGGAGTCAGTATCCTGGCAGGTTCCCGGAGGTCTCCTCTTAGGAACCAGGAGGGTGGCACCCCTGATGCACCGCAAGAGTGAACCCGTCCTGCCGTTAAGTTTCCGTGAGTCAAGGGGACAAGAGGGCCCCCATCAACTTCCTGTGGCTGCTGAAGTGAGTTTGTGCAGACTGTGTAGCTCCCAGCAACTGACATTTACCGTCTTAGGTCTGTGAAGGTCTGAAATCTAAGCCACTCAAAGTGTGTGCAGGTGGGCTGCTGCAGGAGGCTCCAAAAGTCTGTCCCTGGCACGCACCAGTGGCTGTTGGCAACCCCTGGCTCATGGCTGCGTTGCCCAGATCTCTGCCTCTGTCACTTCACGGTCACATCAGATGCTGTAATCAGACCTCCTCTGTGTCTTTCTGGTCCAGGACACCTGTGATTGTAGCTGGCCCGTCGGGTCACTCTCAACCTCCCTGTCTGTATTCAGATCCAAAAGTCCCCTCACCGTGTAAAGCCATGGCACTGTCCAGGCTGAGGACAGGACATTGGTCAGCCTGGTGCGTCTTAAGACATTATGCCTCTAAGGTATAAAGTGCTCAAATAAATTGGGTAAGAAAAGAAAAAAAGCATTTAATTCTTTAAAAAAATATTTTAAAGATATAGTCTCCTATATTCCCTGGGCCTTGTTCCAGGGGTGACCTTGAACTCTGGTCCTCCTGCCTCCTGAGATTATAGGTATTTGCAGCACTGCTGGGTTACGGTGGCGCTGGGAGGATTGAACCTGCGGCTCCAAGCATGTTAGGTGAGAGTCCTACCAACTCAGCCATTCCCTCAGCCCCACCATTATCATTCTTTTCTTTAAACATGTATTTTTCCAGCTGGACATGGTGGTATGCACCTGTCATCATGGCACCAGGGAGGCTGAGGTGGGAGGACCTGGGGTTTGAGGCTGTTCCAGGCTGCCAGTGCGAGTGGAGCGTAAGCGGCCCCCCCACCCCCTCGCAGTAAACTCGGTCTCAGCGCTGCACGGCCAGGGCCGCTCATGCCAGTCTTCCCATCTTTCCATCACCACACATCTCTCTCTCTCTCTCTCTCTGAATTCTTTTAAAAGTGTGCTTCTATGCAACTTTAGAATAAATAAACACAGCCCGATGAGGTGGCTGTTGGAAGGATGTACACGGGCGGAAGTCAGTGTGCGGACGGAGACCCGGGCACCAGAAGGACAGGAGCTGAAGTACCCTGGCTGTTCGTCACCCCTCCGTTCTTGCTCTTTCCTCGGGCTTCTCTGCTTGAGCGCCCGCATGCTTCCCGAATTCAGTTGTACAGGACCCTGTGGGTCGGCCTCATCATCGCATGTCATCCAGGAGAGCGCTGACGGCCTGCATGCTGTGCGGCCCTGTGTTCACTGAGTCGATTCCTTAAGAGAAACTCCCTTCTTCCTGACCTGAAATTGGGGCACGGCCTCTGGGTCTCTGTGGTTCCCTTATATTTGTTTGTTTGTTTTTTGAGAAGACTGTCCCACATAGCCCAGGTTGGCCTCCAACTCACATGTAGCTGAGGATAACCCTGAACTCCGTCTGCACGTGCTGTGTTGGGATTTCAGGAGTGTGCCACCACCTTGGGCAAGCGCTTGCGCAACTCCTCGACTTCTTCGCCTTCAAAAAAAAAAAAAAAAAAAGACATGGTCTCTGTCTGGAGAGATGGCTCAACAGTCAAGAGCACTTACTGCTCTTTCAGAGGACTGGGGTTTGGTGTCTAGCATCACACAGCGGCTCCAGGGGATCCAACCCCCTTTTAAGGATGAGGTCCCATGTAGCCCAGGTTGCCTCTTACGTACCTAAGGCTGGCTTTGAACTCCTGATCCTCCTACCCTCCACTGTGCCTAGCTCTTCAATACCCTTTTTAAAATATGATTGATTGGTTGATCGACTGACTATGTGTGTGTGTGTACATACGTATGTAGGTCCATGCACATGAGTGCGGGTGTCCTTGGAGATCGAATTGCAGGCCCTTGTGAGCTGACTGACATCGGTACTGGGAGCCAGACTCCAGTCCTCTCTCTGGAGGGACAGTGTGGCTTGTAGATCCGGTTTTGGAAGTGGCCAGGGCATCCAAGAAGGCTCTGAGTCAGTGGCTCAGCAGTGGGAAGAGTAACGGGGTACATGGTACAGAGGCACCCTCCTATCCTGACACAGGCCTGGTTGCAACACAGTGGTGCTAGAGGCATCAGGCAGCTCTCTGGATTCCAGTGTCTTAGCGCGGAAGGGGAGAAGTATGTGAAATATCTCTGCCATTTTCATGTTGGTGACATCTTGAACTGATAATATTTTGGCTCTGTAAGATCAATTAAAGCAGGCCACATGGTTCTTCGCATTTCCCCCGGTGGCAGTAGGCGTTTAAGGCTCCATCTCTAACTTGTGTCTTGGGCTTTGTGCCAGAGGGCCTGTGGCACTTGGATGGCTTATGGGCTAGTTCCTTGACTGGGAGAGCCGAGAACCTCCCCCCCCTTGAGGATAGATGGATATCCTGTTTGGGAAAGCACCCTCAGAAAGTGCCCCCCCAAGTCATGCTCTGGAGAACCCCTTTTGACGGGTGCTGGATGAGAGGCAGTGCAGAGCACAAACTCACCCTGTGCTGGGCTGCCCTGTGCCACTTCCCAGGCCTGGAGGTGCCCACAGGAGACTCTAGAGAGCTGGGAGACTGAGTGTGGCATGTCCAAGAGGAGAGGTTCAGGAGAGAGCAGGCCCGTGCGCCCATGAAGGAGAGCCGGTAGGGCAGTTGGTGGCCAGCTTTGACATGGGTTGACAGGAGTCCTCCTCCACCCTCCACCGTCATGTCATTTTCTCTCCTGACTGCCAGGGCTTGGTGATAAGGGAGGGGGTGGAGGGGGAGCGCTTCCTGGTTTGAATGGGCCTGCTGCTTTAACAGTATGACTGGAGGTGGTGAATCGGCTCCAGACGGGGAAGGCAGAGTCCAGCAATGCTGCATGGTGAACCAGAGGCCTGGGGCTCCTGTGTTTGGCTGGTAGGGCAGAGCCAGGCTGGGGACGAAATAATGTGTGTGCACACATCCCGGGGGGCTTTGGGGGCATCTGTTCCTGCCAACTGGGGGTAGGAGACACGGGGAAATCTGTCACTGGCCCTGAGGCCCCTCCAGAGTTACCCAAGGCTCCTCTCCACTTGAGCTAATTGCTCCTGCTCTAAGCAGACCTCGAATCCCACCCCCAGCACTCCCAGTGTGGGAGCTGGCCTGGGGCCACCGTGGCCATGCCTGAGCCTGGGAGTGACTCATCCCAGGTCAGAGGTTACAGGGTCTGGCAGATCCCAGCGTCCAGCCCCGGCCCCCGCAGCATCAGCTCCTATCCTCTGTACCCCTGGCTCGTCACTCTCAGGGTCCCAGAACTTCACAGGAGCCTGCAAGGAGGGGTGGAGGAGGAGAGTACTGACTCACTGCCCAGCCCCCAAGGAGGGTCAGGAGCAGGGGGAAGAAGCAGGCACCAGAACGCAAAGTCCCTGAGGCTCCAGAGCAGAGGCCGGGTGAGCCAGCCCCAGCCCAGCCCCGGGGTTCTTGCCTTCCTCCCTGCTTTTCCCTCCTTTGGTTGCAGCAAGCAGAGCCCACTTAAGCAGGGTGGCCATGCCGTCTCAGCCGCCCAGAAGCCTATGGTGGTCAAGGCACTGGGAGAAACACAGAAGGCCGCTGGGAAGGCCAAGGTGCATGCCTGTTATTTGACTGGGTGGGGGTTGTGCCAGGCCGGGTACCATGTACACGGTCATTGGAAGGCCGTCCTGGCTGGGAATGGGGCTCTGTGATTGTGGGTTGGCACCGATTTGGGCAAACACAGGTTAAAGGCTAGGGCTGTGTGGCTCCAAGGTCGGTACTGTGCCTCCCTATGTTACAGCACCTGGGGGGGGGGTACCCTGTCATTTTCCTCTTAGTGGCCGAGGGGCCCTCAGGCTGTCTGCAGCAGCCGGTGCGTCTCTTCCCCGCCTCCTCGTCCCTTCGCCCTGCCCCTCAGAGCAATTCCCCACCAAGCCTCCCTCTGCAGGCCGTCCTGAGCCCTCCTACCTCTCTGCCCCACGCTCTGGGAGGCTCCTTGTTCCGAGGCCACAAAGCCCCTTTGATCCTCTGCTCGGCTCCGAGCCATGTGACCGAGTGGGCGGGCCGCAGCTCTCCGGCGTCCAGGCAGCCCGACTTTCAGCTGCTGGGGTGAGTCCTTGCTCTTTGTTCTTGGAGCCTCTCACAGCTTGCTCTGGGGGCCTCCAGGTGGTGGGGCCCGCTGGCCGGCCCCATGGGTGCAGCGGGGCCGGGATCCGAGGAGCCCCGGGGCCTGGGGCTTCTGGCTGGCAGTCCAGACCTGGGTTCCTGGGCAGATGGGCGGCGGGATGCCGGGTCTCCACGCGGGAACCAGCTTTTCGATCGCAGAATAGAAGAAAAGGGAGCCTTGTGCGATCACAGCTATCTCTTTGTAAATGTTTGGCCAACTCCACCGAGCGGTGGAGAGTGTCTTGGAGCACGTTGCTCCCTTCTCTGACTTCCAGCCGGGGCAGGAGCAGAGGTGTATCGGAGGCTTCTTGCAAAAAATATCTCCACACAGTTACCATCTTCTGTTAGTGGGCGGCTTCCAGCGCTGGCTGGAAATTGGTGACTGCCGGCTGTTAGAAAGGTGGCAAATCGAAGACCACAGGGTGCAGTGTGGTGGGGCCGCACTGTGGGATGCTTGTCCTGCCTGCCAGCTTTGGGTTCTTGGGATGCGCTGAGCCCAGGAGGGTGTTGCTGGGCGGGGTGGGGGTTTGGTATGCGTTTGTTTTGCTAGAGAATGTGCAATGGGGGTGTCCGCCTTCCGAAGCCATGCGTTAGAACCTGTGCTCTGTGTCAGAGCCAGGGGCAGACAGTGCCCTCCAGCAAGCTTTGCAGCTGAGCTGAGCTGAGCTGATGCGAGGACCCCAGCCAGCACAGAGAACGTCGCTTGCACCCAAGCACGGAGAGACAGAAGCAAACGCCTTCTGCTCCTGGAGACTGCCTGAACTTCCAACCTGCTGTGTGCACCCCCACCCCTGCTGTAAGGAAAAGCTGCTGGCTCTTGGTTGGAGGTCTGGAGGTCTCTTGGGGAGAACATGTCTGCTCCCCAAGAGAATCGTGAGATCCCTTTTCTTAGAGAAAAAAATGTATCCCCCGGAAGCAGCCCAGTAGCAGGTTCTGGCCACTCTGCACTGGACACAGTTGGAACTTGGTTTGGATCTCATGTGGAAAACCCAGAGGACAGCATGGTGTCGGGCCTCCTTCATTCATATTTTGCCCAGCTTCCCTTGGCAGCCAGGGCACTCCTTTCCAGCAAATAGGAAAAATGTGCTTCTGAAGCCTTGTGGATGGGCAGCCAGCCTCTGCTCCAGGCCTGCTTGGAAAGGGGGTTCATCCTTTCTTCTTGGGTCTCTTTCAAGGTATGAGGCAGCTATAGAAGGCAGATTTGAGCTTACAGCAATCCTGTCTCAGCCTCCTCAGTGCAGGGGTCATAGCTGTGCGCCACCATGTCTGCCTAAGATTTTGCTTTTAAACATTGGTCCTTGGGGACCTGAGTTGTGGCTAACCTGGCCAACTCCTTCAGTCCCCAGGTCATTTCAGTGTTGGCTCACCCCAGGTTCTGTTGCATCTACTGGAGTGTGTTCATATGTCTACCAGCTGGCCCCCTGTGTTCATCATACTGTTCTGTGCTTGGGGTGGTAACTCTCCTTGGTGGAAGCCAGCTACGGAAAGGAGGAGGCCAGGTCGCTAGGGTCAAATGTAACATGTGAGGCGGGTCCCATCACGTCAGATCCAAGAGGGTCCTTCATGGGCCTTGGAGCCCTCTGAGCATCAGCTCCACTGCCCCTGGCTGTGAGAACAGCTCTGGGCGGTTGATGCAGGAGCCCTCTACCCATTGGGGAACAACATTGCTGTTGCCTGTACTCCCAGCCCCCTCCCTTCCTTGCCACAGTATCCTCCCCAACTTCCTGTTGTGTCATTGCTCTTGTCAGATAGGGTGGCTCTGCTGGGGCTGAGGCCCCCTTGTACAAAGAAGGCCCCACAGCCCCGGGCAGCACAGATTCCCTGCCTGGGTCAAAGGTCTCTAGGAAGCCAGCATTGAAGCTGTTTCCTGTCTCCCATTCCTCTACACAGCGCAGTCCCTGCTGGCTTTCCCACACCACCCCGGAAGTTTCTAGGCTTCCTCTCTCACTTGCTGGCCCTGTGTGTGGGAAGGACAGCTTTATACTAATGCTTGTAGGCAAAAATGAAAACAAAAAACAAAACCAAACCCAGTGCCCACTGGCAGAGGCTAGGTGGGCCTCCTCGTCCTTACCCATCCCCCCCTCCTCTCACCACAGACCAGGCCAGTGTTGCCAGCTGAGCTTTAGGAAAAGGCCTGGGAGTGGTGTCCCGCCCAGAGGTCTCTTCCTACAGTTTGGTCTTTCGAGAAGTTTCCAGCCAGCTCTACCCTTAGCAGGCTCACCTCTCCCAGACTCTCTGCCTTGCAGCACCAAGCTTTGATTTGTTTATTGAGCACCCGCTCTGTTCCTTGGGCAGGTAGAGACGTGCTGCCCTCAGGAGCTTCGGAGCCTTGGACTCCATCCCAAGGAAGACTTCTCAGGGTGGTTCCTGTGCAGAGTAGTGTGCCATGTGTTCTGTGAGTGGAGCGGAGCTGGGCGCTCCTACCTGCGTCTGGGGAGGTGGGCCTGTCTGCACTGCACACCCGAGACCTCTGCCTGCCAGGTCTGTCCCCACCCTACCTGCCTGGCTTCCTGCACACCTTGGTGCCTGAGGGTTGGATGGGCACACCTGCCTGTTCCTTCCGTCATGCACCCGAGGGGCACACTGTTTTGCGGTAAAGAGGCCTGTGGAGCCTGAGCGCATTTCCCGCAGCCCCTGAGCTGCTGGCCACACTCTGGTTCCACTGCCCACCCCTGCAAGCTGAGTTCACCACCTGATCGTACCCAGCTCATTTCTCCCTGCCTGCTCCCACTGGTACCGGGTTGCCGTGTGGGGCCTGGGCTTCCTTTAGGGCAGGCTCAGTGCAAAGCGCCGTGAAAGACACAAAGGCTTGGAGCTGGGGAGATGGATGTCAGGTAGAGATGCTGTCACACCCTTAATCCCAGGAAGCCAGATCTCTGTGAGTTCGAGGCCAGCCTGGTCTACAGAGCGAGTTCCAGCACAGCCAGGGCTACGCAGAGAAACAAGGTCAAACGCTGTTGACCTTGACAGCGTGAGTGCTATTTCTGTACTCCACATGATAGGAGAAAACTCTCCTGCAGGTTGTCCTCTGACCTTTACCCATGTGCTGTGCCCATGCCGTATGTGTACTCTAATGCATACAGTGGATAGATCTCGCCCAGGACTCTGCCCTTCCTAATTGCTTAGCATCTCCCTGAAGCCAAAGAGCTGGGGGAGGGGCATACTGAGGTGCCAGCCCTTTGGCACCTTGGGGTGCGTTTGGAATCCCAGCTGATGGCTGGCCACAAGAGGACTGGCACCAAGTCACTGGCACTCTTCTTGTTTTTAGTCTTCCTAACTGCTGTCAGTTGCAGGTCCCCGTCCTGGGGGCCGCAGTCTTACCCGGTTCTTTGATCCGCCTGGGCACCCATGCTGGGTGAACACCCCACCGACTGAGCCTTATCTCCTGTCTCCCTTTTGGCTCTTTGAGGCAAGGTCTGATTCTTGTAACCCAGGCTAGCCTTGAATTTACATGTCTCCCGCCTTAGCCTCCCAAGCGCCGGGATTTCAGGAGTGTTGCCACCATGAAGGGTTTCCGTCTTGCTTGTGGGTGCTGGGTGCCAAGCATAGCCTGGTCGCCAGGGGTCATGGGACAGTTGTGTTTCCACAGTGGAATGTGATCAGAGCTCAGAGCTCCAGGATCTCTTATCTTACCTCCCAGGCCTTGTCCCAGGTGCCTGTCACCACTGGAGGAGGAGATAAGGCGCCGCGCTGCCTAGCAAGCCTGGTCCACCGGAGTGGGAGTCTCCCCTTTCTGTGCTACCCAGAGCTACTGGCCAGGACCTGCCCTGAAAGTGGCTGTGGCTGGCCCTCCTGTTCAGGGGTGATTTTAGTGTCCTGTCTGCCCTTCTCGGTGGCCACTAAGGTTTATCGATCTCCGTGTCCCTGATCTGGCCTAGGTGCTCATTTGGTTAATGTTTGAATGAATGACTTGGCCAGCATTGTGTGACCTTGGATTTTCTGCTTCAGTCCAAATGTTTGATGGTTCCACCAAGGCCAGCTCAGGGGCCTTCTGAGGAGTCTGTCCTCCCTGCCTTTCTCTCATATGAGAGCTTTTTTTAAAAGGGGGAACAGAAAGGGGTGGAGAGGGCCCCCAAATCAATTTCTGTTAGCGACCTTGTCTCAAAAATTAAGGTGAGTGGGCTGGCCAGATGGCTCAGTGGGTAAAGGCATTTGCCATTAAGGCTGAGAACCTGAGTTCAGTCTCCAGAACCGACATGGCAGAGACAACAGTTCCTGCAAGTTGCCCTCTGACCTCTACATCCGTGCCATAGCGCGTGTGCATGCTCTATCCACAGTAAAAAAAAAAAAAAAAAAAAGGCAGTGGTGGCGCACACCTTTAATCCCAGCACTCAGAAGGGAGGCAGAGGCAGGCGGATTCAGGACAGCCAGGGCTACACAGTGAGACCTTTTCCTGCTCCCCCCAAAGGAATATTAAAAAATAAACGAGGTAGAGAGTGACCGAGACAGGCACTTGATGCTCTCTGGTAACCATGTTCATGCACACTGGCGCACACATGCCCAGGCACAGACAGGCACATACACAAACACAAAAGAGACAAAGTAATATCTTAGGTGACTTTCACAGGTTCTTTCCAGGGGCAGAGGATTGGGATAACTGAGTCTTCACCCTGAGACCCCTGTGGGAGTTGAAGGTTTGGCGGAGGGACGGGAGAGGGTCTTCTGTGAAGTACTGAGCTGGAGAGGTGCCACACCGACTGTGTGGGGGTGGGCTGGGTCAGGACGGGGACGGGGTCCTTGTGGGCTCTGAGACAGTGCCTCTGTCTGTCGTCTGGTGACTGGGCGTGCACATTGTTGCTGTTTGTGACTGGTGACTGGAGGTGAAGGGATGCCATAGACCTGGCATGAAATGACGGAGGAGGATG